TTCAGCTCAACAAAGGACAACAGCGTGAACCAGGAATAAAACATTCAGCTGACCCGTTCTGAACCGGTGGACCTGCACGGATCCAAATTATCCAGGTGAGTTTAGATGGAAGCCTAGCAGAACTCCGATGCAGACTCCGGGTTTTTTTCAAGCAGCTCCTCCTCGGCGCTTCCCAGCATGAGAGGCTTCCTTCGGGCGAACAATGATGAGAACTGACCGAAGAAGGTAAAGCCGTCCTTGGCTCTGTTCTGTTCTGAGTCCTCATGACTCAGTGAGGCTACCTGTATAAAGAAAGGTTAAATAAAAATAAACAGACTGGTCCTAGGGGACCGGGCTGACAATGTCTCAAAAGACAGACTGGTCCTAGGGGACAGGCTAGATAAAGAGCTATTTGTGATACTTTCATGGACAGAAGACACAATGAATGGCAGATCAGAGTATGCAGCCTTCTTGAAGTCCTTAGTGGAACAGCAACAGTATGACCTGGAGGGGCGTGATTGGAAGGAAAGGCCTCTCTGATATGAACCCAAGCAGTGTTCTGTTGTTGGACTTCTGTGCTAGTCATAGTTTGTCCATCATGAATGCCATATTCCAACATAAGGGTGTCCATAAGTACACTTGGCACCAGGATTCCCTAGGTCCTAGATCGATGATTGACTTTGTAGTCATGTCATCTGATTTGCAGCCATTTGTTTTGGACACTCGGGTTAAGAGAGGAGCTGAGCTGTCAACAGATCACCACCTGGTAGTGAGTTGGATCAGATGGTGGGGGAAGATGCCAGACAGACCCAGTAGACCCAAACGTGTAGTGAGGGTTTGTTGGAAATGCCTGGCAGAAGAACTCATCAGAAAGATCTTCAACTCGCACCTCTGGGAGAGCTTTAACTGCATCCCAGCTGAGGGGGACATTGAGTCAGAGTGGGTCATGTTCTGCACCTCAATTGTTGAAGTGACTGCCTTGAGATGTAGCCACAAGGTTGTCAGTGCTTCTCACGGTGGCCATCCTCGAACTCTGTGGTGGACACCCCGAGTTAGGGAGGCTGTCAAGATGAAGAAGGAATCCTATTGGTCCTTGTTGGCTGGTAGAACTCCAGAGGCAGCTGAGGAGTATCAGAGGGCCAAGCGGTCCGCAGCCTTGGCTGTTGCTGAGACAAAAGTTCGGATGTGGGAGGAGTTCAGTGAGGCCTTAGATAAAGACTCTCGGTCGTCTCCAAGGAGAATCTGGCAAACCATCAGGCGCTGAGGAGGGGAAGCAGCTCTTTACTAACACTGTTCAGTGAAGGTGGGGTGCTGTTGACCCAATGATGTCGTCGGGAGGTGGAAGGAATACTTCTCGGACCTTCTCAATCCCACTGGCACATCTTCCATGGAGGAAGCTGAGTCGGGGGACTTTGGAGTTGGTCTGTCCATAACCGTGGCTGAGGTCGCCGAGGTAGTTAAAAAGTTCTGCAACGGCAGGGCTCTGGGGGTGGATGCAATGGTATATTCTACGTGATACGTGAGGCATACGGAGTCTACCCTCTAGAAAAGCGTAAGAATTTCAGTATACCCACTTACAAGTGCCTAATGACATATCATTAGGCACGTGTCATTGATACATTAAACAGCAGTTAAACACTTCAGTTACAATCCACCTGTATGCAGCGCTTGTTTATTACATTCGTTTATCCAGTGGCTTATTGTATAATTCTGTACTTACTACTTAATACTTGAAAATGTTTTGCTTTGATACCGTTTATAAATTCTAAAACATTTTTAATACAAAGCCAACTGTTGTACAAAGTTTGTTGTACATTTATAGGACGCTTGACAGAATCGGAGTTGCATTCACACACTGGCTTGTTAATTGTTGTTGCTCTCTAAAATAGTAATTTTAATTCGACCTTTATTTCTACAAGTTGTTAGTCTCAATGAGTCTCATAATTTACAAGAGAGACCTGTTTTTAATAAATTTAATCAAATGTTTACAGATGTTTAACAACCTGTTAAAATACACCAAAATTGCATCTCTTTTATTCCAAATTTTCTGGGGGAGGACCCACGGTCTGTTGTGGTGAAGAGAGCGCTGAGCTGTAAAGCAAAGCTCTCTGTTTACCGGTTGGTCTACGTTCCTGCCCTCACCTCTGGTCATGAACTCTGGGTAGTGACTGAAAGAATGAGATCGTGGATCCAGGAGGTTGAAATGAGTTTCCTCTGCAGGGTAGCTGGACTCTCCCTTAGAGACAGGGTGAGAAGTTCAGTTATCAGGAGAGACTCAGAGTAGAATCACTGCTCCTCCACATAGAGAGGAGCCAGCTGAGGTGGTTCGGGCATCTTGGACCTTACATCCGCTTTTGATACCATCGACCATGAGATCCTCATTTCTAGGCTGGAGCAGTGGGTGGGCATCACAGGGTCAGCCCTCAATTGGTTTAGATCCTACCTAGCTGACAGATCCTTTTGTGTCTCCATCAGAGATTTTAGTTCAGCATCGGCAGCATTTAAATGGGGGTGGGGTGGGGGTGGGGGTACCGCAGGGGTCCATCCTCGGTCCCCTTCTATTCTCTTTATACCTGCTGCCACTAGGTGCCATTTTCTGGAAACACAACATGCCCTTTCACTTCTACGCCGATGACTGTCAAATTTACTTCCCTCTAAGACACAATGGTACATGCTCTATTCAACCTCTGCTTGACTGCCTGGCTGACATCAGAGACTGGATGGTTTTAAACTTCTTAAGTTTCAACGAGAAGAAGTCTGAAGTCATGCTGTTCCCTCGCAATGACACAATCGTCAACCACTGCATTGACCTTTCTGCTCTAGCCCGGTTAGAGAAACAAAGAGTCACTAATTTGTGAGTGATAATGGACCCTTCCTTGAAACTTAACAGTCATGTGAACATGATTGTTAAATCATGTTTTTTTCCAGCTGAGGTGACTACGCTGAAGTCCATATTGTCCAAAAATAACTTGGAGACAGTAATACATTATATCTAGACTCTATTACGGCAACTTGTTCCTGATTGTCATGATCAGCGGCCCCCGCTGGCCCCCCATCTGCTCACTTCCCTGCCCCTTCATGACATGCCATGTTTCTGCCCTCTCCATGTGTTGTTTATCCCTCAGCTCCTGTCAATCTGCACTTCAAGTCTGCTCATGTCACTTCTCTGTCACCACGCCCCCTCAGCTGATTCACTGCCATCAACCCTCATGCATCTCACCTGTTCTCTCCACTATTTAAACTCCATGCCTACACTCATTCAGCACGAGATTATTAAACCTCTCATGGTCCCTGATTCTCAAGCCATTCATAGTTTCATGCCTGAACTTCAAACCTTGTGTTTTGGACTACGACCTCACGTCTGCCTCTTGGATTTTTCTCTCTGCTTGTCGCTCGTCTGGTTTTGCTCTGTCCTTCTGACCCTGGTACGACAACTTTTCTGGCCCTGTGACTCTGGATTTTGGATTACCCCTTGGATCTGTTTAAAGAACGCTGACTCCCCATGCTTGACCCCTGCCTTGCCTTCTGGACCCTCTCCCTGGCTGCAGCTGCAATTATAAATAAAACTGTTTTCATTTTTTACTCCTGTGTCTTGTCATTCTGAATTCAAAAGCCTGGTTTCGTGACAGAATAATCTTGCGCCGAATGAGTGTAGGCATGGAGTTTAAGTAGTGGAGAGAACAGGTGAGATGCATGAAGGTTGAATGTGGTGAATCAGCTGAGGGGGCGTGGTGACAGAGACGTGACATGAGCAGACCTGAAGTGCAGATTGACAGGAGCTGGGGGATAAACAACACATGAAGGAGAGGAGCAGAAACATGGCATGTCATGAAGGGGCAGGGAAGTGAGCAGATGGGGGGTCAGCGGGGGCCGCTGATCATGACAGATTGGTATCAGTCAGATCTCCACTGCCAGACTGCAACTGGTCCAGAATGCTGCAGCCCGATTTTTAACCAGTCCAGGCAAAAGAGAGCACATTACTCCAGTTTTGGCCTCCCTGTACTGGGTACCTACCGGTTCACCTTTGAATCCAGTTTAAAATCCTTCTGAATGTTTTTTAATCACTGCACAGTTCTGCCCCCTCCTATCTCACTGATCTGCTGCAGCCATATGTCCCACCGTGTTCTCTGAGGTCAGCAGACCAGTTGCTTCTCTCAGTTCCAGTAACCTGTCTTAAGCATAGAGGTGACAGGGCCTTCTCTGTCACAGGCCCTAGACTCTGGAACGAGTTACCTCTGCTTGTCAGACTGGCCCCCTCCCTCACAGTTTTTAAATCCTGATTAAAAACCCACTACTATTCCCTGGCTTTCAACACTATGTTGATCCTGAATGCATCACACTGTGTTAGTCATTATGTTATTATCTGCTATTATTGTGTTTCTATATTTTGATTTTACATTATGTGTTGCTGTGTGCTCTGCCTGGTTGTTTCCATCTGTACAGCACTTTGGTTGGTCCTGTCGCTGTTTAAAGAGCTTGATAAATAAAATAGTATGGTCTGGCATCTGGTAAGGATGCCCTCTGGACGCCTCTCTAGGGAGGTGCTTCAGGCATGTCCGACTGGGAGGAGACCCTGTGGAAGTCCCAGGACACGCTGGAGAGACTACGTCTTTGGTTGTCCTGGGAACACCTTGGAGTCCTCCCAGAAGAGCTGGAAGAGGCTGTGGAGAGAGATGTCTGGACCTCCCTGCTCAAGCTGCTGCACCCGAGACCTGAGTCCAGAACAAGAGGAAGAGGATGGATTCATCCAATTTTCTGCTACTTTTAGCTATTAAATTTATTTGAATTATAGCTAGTCTTTTTTTTCTAGTTCAGGCTTTTTAAACTTTCTTCATTTCAGCTCTTCTGTGCTTCTTTCTGCTTTTCAGCTTTTGTATTTCAAATAAAACTTTGGCTTGTTCAGCAGCTTTCAGCAAACTCCTGGAGCAACAAACATTCACCGCATTTTTGCAAGAAATGCCATTTTTCTACTTAATGTCTTCCTGAAAGGCATTGTGGGAGTTGTAGTTTCTCTGTCCTACCTCCGGCTGAATGTCTGGAAACAACACGTCCCAGAAGCCACCAGGATGAGCAGCAGCAGCGGGATGGTCGGGATCACCACGTACAGCAGCAGCATGCCTGAGGACACACAGACAACGTGAGACAGAGTGATATCATCATCGCAGGTCAGAGGTCACACTCATAGGCGTTCTCACCTGAAGCTGCTGTCATGGCAACTTGTGGTGGGACGTCCTCGCTGCCTGCTGCCCGAGTGATCACAACGCCTCCTGCAGTCACTGCTGATGACGAATAGAATCTGTACAGGTTACTATGGTAACTGAAATACAGCTGCAGGTGTGCACTGCTCCCCTACTCACCAGTGCCCCGCCCTCCTGGTGTGTCTCTGTGTTCCTTCTCCAGGTGGCTCTCTGAAAACACCAAGCACACTGACCTGTCACCAGAGTCTGGAGCTGATTGGCTGACCTCACCTGACCTGTCACCAGAGCCTGGAGCTGATTGGCTGACCTCACCTGGCTCATACTTGCATATGAAGTTGTGCTTCATGTTGCAGCGGTCGTCGTTCCATTGGTAGAGATAAGCCCCGCCCAGACCAGGAAGAGCAGTCAGCTGGTGGTACATGACCACGCAGGCTTCGCTGCCGCAGGAGGGTTCGTCAACATACCAGTTCCTGCATCACCATCATCGCCATGGTTACAGGCAGAGCTTGCTTCAGGTGAATCAGGTGATGCAGTGATGACATGACACTCACCTGAAGGTGGCAACGCTGCCATCTGTCCATTGGTAAAGTTCTGAACAGGGAGTCATGGTGTTCTCGACTCCACCCACCCGAGTCAAGCCGATCCAGAAATCACCATCTGATATTCCCCCCCCTCTGGGTCCGCCCACTGCTCCTGAACGCAGAGCCTAGGGGAAAGAGGGAGGAGCTAAAACACATGGCTCAATGCCATTTTTTGTGTTGTGGAAAGTACAACTGTTCTGGTCTCATCTTGAAAATATCAGTGGGGGGGTCTCACTTCTAGCAGTTGTTCCACGTGAGTCTGCTCAGCTGGACTCTCGATGCTCAACAGCTCCCCTCCCTCCACCTCACAGGCCCGTCTGGCCTCACCGAATGCCACACGGCTCGACACGTCATGGAAGTAGGCGATCTTATAGCAGGGCCGCTCGGGACCGCCCTCACACACCTTAGAACCTGCAGACACAAAGCCCCGCCCACAGCCCTCACACACATTAGAACCTGCAGACACAAAGCCCAGCCCACAGCCCTCACACACATTAGAACCTGCAGACACAAAGCCCCGCCCACAGCCCTCACACACATTAGAACCTGCAGACACAAATCCCCGCCCACAGCCCTCACACACCTTAGAACCTGCAGACACAAAGCCCCACCCACAGCCTCACACACCTTAGAACCTGCAGACACAAAGCCCTGCCCACAGCCCTCACACACCTTAGAACCTGCAGACACAAAGCCCCGCCCACAGCCCTCACACACCTTAGAAGCTACAATCTAAGCAGATAAATCAGTCTTAAAACCTCACAGAAGCGAACAACGTTTTAAATCCACAAACTGTTCCAGATGTTCCAGATGTACTCATTTCTAATTAAAGTGGGAATATTCTGTGCACACAAGTTGTGCACAAAGCACCTGCTGCGCACGATCAGATGCCTGTCAGTGTGGCTTTTGACACTTTCTTACTGCTCCAAAGGTCATGCTGCGTTCAAGGCTGCTGAAAAGCTGGGACATGTGAGCGTCACCGAGTCATATTAGTGGGTTCTACAGCAGAACGTTCCTCCATGTTTTGTTTGAAATGTCTGAAAAACTCCATGCATTTTTACAACTAATCTATCTTCTAAAAATGTTGTCAGCCACTGGTCCATCCTTTTGGCCAGTGGCTGTTTTGTTTCCCCGATGTAAGACTGATCACCTCCTGACACTGAACAACATACACAATATTACTCTGTTTGTGCCGGGGCACTGGATCTTTGGGATGAACCAGTCTTGTTTGAGGCCTGTTTGAGTCAGGTTTGAGGAACGATGGTTTGAGAGAGGAGTAAAGGAGGCCATCTTTGTGAAAAGACACCGTCCATCATTAAACAGGGGTGGAGCCTCCAGGTTCAACTGTCCCCCTCTTACAATGCTGTGATTGCTAGTATCACTCAGCCCTCTGTGAACAGTAAACAGCCATCAGGTGCTAATGATCCATTGTTAGGCTGATGGTCCTTCTTGAGCATGTGATCAGCTGGTTCTGGTTGTCAGCAGCAAACTGGTTGATCCACTCTAAGAAGGTGCTATTTAAGAGACTGAGCTGAATACAGCACCTCAGACTGAGGAAGTCCTCAGGATGAAAGATGAAACGTTTCTTTTTTTTTTTTTTTTTGGAACGTCCAGAGGACCAAACTTAACTTCTTTAGATTTTTCTACGTGGATTATTGAGCAGCACCAGGATAATCTATCTTCATCAAGCCCCGCCCACAGAGCCATCAGTACGAGTGGAGCGGAGAGTCATCCAACGCTGAAGTGTGTGTGTGTGTGTGTGTGTGTGTTTCAGGGTACCTTGTAGGGACCAATTTTACAACAAATCCTACATTGTGGAGATCAAAGCCAGGTCCCCATAAGGAGAAGTCTCGTTGGGGGGTTAGGTGTGTGGATTGTGGACGGGTCAGTTATAGAAAATGAATGGAAGTCAATGCAAAGTCCCCAAAAAGTCCATTTACAAGAACATGTATATGATTGTGTGTGTGTGTGTGTGTGTGCGCGCGCGTGCATGTGTATGCGTGCGCACGTGTGTGTGTGTAAAGTGCCTCCTCAGAGCTTCTTTAAGTGATTATCTGGACTCTCTTGTGCACCATCATCAGTTTCTGTTAAAGCCCGTAAAGAAAAGCCTCATTTGTATCTCTCCACTTTGTCCCCCTCTGTCTGTCCCCCTAGCTGTGTGTCCACTCGTCCTCCTGTCTTTTTCTCTGTCCGTCCGTCAGCAGCTGGGAGACGAGACTGAAACTTTAATAAAAACTAAACCTGAAGAACATCTGCTGTAGAACCTCAACCCACAGAACCAGAACCCTTTGTGTTCAAACCAGTCCTGCTGGAACCATGTGGACTCAACTTAAAGACAGAGTTTCTGCAGAGTTTATTTGTAATTTTCACTCTGAAGCAGAAAACTCAAGAAGTTCCCACAGACCGTGAAGGTACCGTTGTGAACTTTGACCCTGTGATCAGGTCACAGGTCGGATGATTTGGACCTGCAGCTCAGACTTCAGAACCATCATTCAGAGTTTGAACAGGTCACAGGAAGTTGGGAACCTCGTTCACGTTCTGTCTGAGACTGACTTTTTACTCTGTCTCTCTGTCTGAAGAGCTGCTGTGTTGCTCCGCCCCTTTCTGCTGCATCATTTTATTTTGTTTAAAGAAACTAGTCTGAAGTTTCAAAATAAGAGTCTGGCAGTGATTCTTGGGTTTGAACACGTACGTCGTAAGTTTCTGATGAAGTCATGTTTATAAAATCCAAGATGGCTGCTGTCGTAGGCCTGATCACCAGGTGGCGGTGAAGGCGGAGCCTTTAACTTAACGAGTTTTTCTATTTCATGTAAGGAAGCAGCAGAAACCACAGAAAAAGACTTCCTGCCTGTTTAAACAGGAAGTAGAACTCACCGCTCATCACTCGCCCCGTGTTCCTCTCCACCATCACCATGACGACCGCCAGCATCAGCACCACCGCATGCTGAGCCATCGTCTGGATTCTGAGCTGCTTTTCACAATAAGAGCGTCCTCCCTGACTCAGAGCTGCTTTTCAGAATAAAAGTGTGTGGGGCATCCTCCTCTCATGGCGCCGCTCCTCACTCTGATGTGAAGCTTGAGGAGGAGGAAGCTTTCAGTGCGTCTCCTCCTCCCCCAGGATCGATCTGAGCTGCACCTCCTCCTCCATGGGGGGTGCCCCTCCCCCCACAGCCTAATTCACTTAGAAAAGGCTGCAGCTGATTGGCTGCTGCAGGTCAGCTGATCAATAACTAAGCGCACATCACCGGGGGGCACGTGCACGCTCCTGCACAGATTGTACAGCAGTTAAACAGTCCATGTGCACACTCACGTGCACGCTCCTGCACAGATTGTACAGCAGTTAAACAGTCCATGTGCACACTCACGTGCACGCTCTGAAAGGCTTCCTGCATCAATCCAGGAGCTGCAGGAGGAACGATTCATGATCAACACCAAGGGAGGGGCCATGTGCACGCTCATAGGCCACGTGCACACTCAGGGGACATGCCACCAGCGCAAAGTCCAGTCCCATCAGGACCTAGAAAGACCTGGTCTGTCTGTGAGCAGAAGCCATTTCTTCTCAGACTCTGAGAGAACCAGACCCCCTGCAGAGGTCTGGACCAGGTCTGCAGATTTGGAGACCCCAGGTCCACTAAAGACCCCTCAAACACCTCAACTCCTCCACACTTACCCCCTTACAGTCTTTAAACCTCCAACTGCACCCTGTACGGTCTCTTAACGGTCCTGTACCCCCCCACCTCCCTCACCTGGACCAGGACCTGAACTCGTGGTCTGATGAGAACCTGCAGGATCTGGACTCATGGACTCATGAGAACCTGCAGGACCTGGACTTGTGGTCTGATGAGAACCTGTAGAACCTGGACTCGAGAACCTCCAGGACTTGGACTCATGGACTCATGAGAACCTGCAGGACCTGGACTCATGGACTCATGAGAACCTGCAGGACCTGGACTTGTGGTCTGATGAGAACCTGTAGGACCTGGACTCGAGAACCTACAGGACTTAGACTCATGGACTCATGAGAACCTGCAGGACCTGAACTCGTGGTCTGATGAGAACCAGCAGGACCTGGACTCGTGGTCTGATGAGAACCTGCAGGACCTTGACTGATGGACTCATGAGAACCTGCAAGACTTGGACTTGTGGTCTGATGAGAACCTGCAGGACTTGGACTCATGGACTCATGAGAACCTGCAGGACCTGGACTCGTGGTCTCATGAGAACCTGCAGGACCTGAACTCGTGGTCTCATGAGAACCTGCAGGGTGGGGTGGAGCAGATCTTTATAACTCCTCTGATGGAAATCTGAAATCAATACGAGTCTGGGCTCTGCGGTCCGTATCGACCGGTTCTGGACCAGAACGTGACCGCAGCTTTAATGGGGTCCATCAGAACGTGTTAAAGACCTGGAGCAGGTTCTACAACGAGGACTTGTTCTGGGTCTGGTCCAGACTCTTCTCTGGGGTGTTGTGTGACAGCTCTCAGGAACATTTATTTTTTCCCAGCGTTCCTCCAACGCAGCGTGGGAAAGAAAGTGGAAGAACTGAAACCAGAGTTCTGATCCAAACCTAGACAGGAAGTGACCTCCATGTTTGTTTTTGAGCTTTTCCAGAATAAATGTCTCAGAGGGTGGAGGTGGTTCCAGTCTGGGCAGATCGTTTACTGAAACACTCAGACTGAAACTGGATACCTGGACATAACCCACTTAGAAACGCCGAGGAGACCCACGGAATGAAGACAGAGAGAAGACGGAGACAGAAAGAAGACGAAGACAGAAAGAAGACGAAGACAGAAAGAAGACGGAGACAGAAAGAAGATGGAGACAGAAAGAAGATGGAGACAGAAAGAAGACCGAGACAGAAAGAAGACCGAGACAGAATGATGATTTATTATTAACCTTCAAATCATGGCAAATCCTACTGAGGTCACAGATCTCTTGCAAGGAGGCCTGGACCTGAAGGCTGTGTAACATGCATGTTAATGCATGTTGATGCTGCATATTGATGCATGTTGATGCGTGTTGATGCATGTTGCGTGTTGATGCATGTTGATGCGTGTTGATGCGTGTTGATGCGTGTTGATGCGTGTTGATACGTGTTGATACGTGTTGATGCATGTTTCGTGTTGATGCATGTTGATATGTGTTGCTATGTGTTGATGTGTGTTGATGCATGTTGATGCGTGTTGATGCATGTTGCGTGTTGATGCATGTTGATGCACGTTGATGCATATTGCTTGTTGATACGTGTTGATGCATACGTGTTGATGCATGTTGATGTGTGT